AAAATGTCAGATCGACGACCAGATCTTACCGTCAACAATCGCAAAAGGCCAGATCTGGCCATCTCAAAGATATGGCCGTCGTTATCGATCAACGACGATCATTTCTTTGGCCATCGCTGAGGCTAGATCTGGCATTTTTCGGTCAGATCGAGGAATTACCAACGATTTTCGGTTGTTTTGGTTGCCAGAATCTGGCAACTATGAGTGCGTGGGGGTGTTTAAACTTAAGGGGTCTAAAAGTAATTAAAAAAAATAATAGTATTTCTTTAATAATTAAACAAACAGTTATTTTGGGTATAAGGTATGAAATAATAAATCAAACATACCCTAAAACATTCCAAGTTATTTTTCTTCTGACTATAATCTAACACTCCAATTATAGTTTTACTAAATTGATGCATTTCTACCTAGGACTAGGAGAAAGGAGATGAACTAGATGACTAAACATAAAACTTGGGTCTCTTGGATATATTATTCAAAAGTCATGAGTTACAATCTCCACGACTACTAATAAACGGTAGTTACTGGAGGTTTACCTAACCGTTAACTTCAAGGCCCCGATAGACTAGTTAAGGTGCACACAAACTAGTCCGAACACCTCTGGATATAAAAAAAAAAAAAAAAAGAGATATTAAACATGAAACCTCGTAAGCTATATTTGGTTCGGAGAAGTAGCATAAGCAACAACAAGTGGTAATAAATTTATGCGCAATGCTTCTGAATTCAACTTGTTCAGTCCTTTTTACCTTTTTCTTTGACAAAATCTATTAATAAGAGATAGTCATTGGAGGCTTACTTGACTCTTAACTTTAGGGTTAGACTAGTTGAGGTACGCAAAGCTGGTTCAAACACTCCCAGATTCCAAAAAAAAAAAAAAGATCCGTTTGGTTCATTATTTTGATAGTTTTTAGAATAATATTTTGAAAAAAGTTAAATTGAAAAGAAATTATCAAAAATACCCTCTATGTTTGTTTATTTACTAAACACCCCCATAATAAAATATTAAAAGTTAACAAAAACACCCCCAACCCACCCATTAAATACGGACAGCCAGAATCTGGTAAATGTGTGTTGCTGGAGTGTTTTTCTAATTTCTAAAAAAAATATTTGGTAGTATTTAGTTAAATTAATAAATTTATGAGGGTTTAAAAGAAATTAAATAATATAGAATAATATCTTGAGAATAAGTCATTTGTACTGTTTAACTTTATTGGAAATACTAATAATAGTATTCCCAAGAGTGAATCAAACGGACCTTTTATGAGATATTATTCGACAAGGATTGAATGAACAACTCTTCCCTACCCAACATTCAATGTAGAATCTCAAAACATCCCACTAATTAATTAAACTAGTTAATACACACAAGAGCCAGCCACCTTCTATGAATGGAATGACTCTTCTTCAATATTATTCCCAGACAGAGCTGGTCTGCAATAGTGTAAATTCTTGGTCTCTTATTTACAGAATATATGAACAAAAGTTACCCGTTTACTTTCCTTTTATCATTTATTAAATAATATTGGCACCTTATCTTAAAGAGAAAAGAGCGAGAGATAACTCATGGAATAATGAAATTGGCATAACCAGTGTGGAAAATTTATAGCTGGGTTGAACGATGTTCTCTACTTTATTTTTGTTCATTCATGGATTCACTATTGACTAAAACAAAACTTGTGTTCTAAGTGTATGCAGAAGTAATATGAATAAGTTTACTCTTGTTTCTTTATATAAAGAATATATTGCAGGAATCTCCCTTTCTCAAATATCATTTTGATGATATTTCTCTTTATAAAGCTCTGTTATGCTTGAAAAAGTAGGATTGACGCAGAGCCCGGTCAGCGTAAATGGTCAAAGTCTAGGCAGATCTTACAACCGTTCAGACGCAGCTACGTTGCATGCTGGCGTGAGCAGCATGCTCTTGCCAGTGTAGTGGGTGCGCGCCAAACTGACGAAAGGTTGGAGGCCGTCCACGTGTCCAATCCCTGTACCAAACGTTAATCATTACTCCAATACATCCTATTATAAATAGAGGACTCTTCTCCTGTTTATGGGAGGGGTTCATTTTCACTATGTAATAGCTAAATTCTTTCTGTAATAGCTTAATCTCTCCTCTGTAATCATTTGCAAGTCAGCTCGCTTACAGAATATATGAACAAAAGTTACCCGTTTACTTTCCTTTTATCATTTATTAAATAATATTGACACCTTATCTTAAAGAGAAAAGAGTGAGAGATAACTCATAGAATAATGAAATTGGCATAACCAGTGTGAAAGATTCAGACATTATTAAAAAATTTATAGCTGGGTTGAACAATGTTCTTTGCTTTATTTTTCTTCATTTATGAATTAACTGTTTACTAAAACAAAACTTGTGTTCTTTATATAAAGAATATATTGCAGGAATCTCCCTTTTTCAAATATCATTTTGACGATATTTCTCTTTATAAAGCTCCAATTTCTGTCACCTTCATCTGTGAAATTTTGTTTTATGTCTGCCACCAGAACTTCATAATTGTTTGAAGAATTCAATAATTCTATTATGTGTTAAATCAAAGAATATGTCCAAATTTGATAAAATGGTTAAGGTATATATACCTGGGAAGATCGAAAAATCAAAAGAAAAAAAATCAATTAGTTCTGTGTCCTTTCACCCCTTTTGCAGGATAGATCAGAGCTGAGAATATACCTTTGTTCTCATGTAGTGACACTTTGTTCTAATAAGAATCACCCAGTAGTATTAGCTTCTTGAGCAAGTTTAGCATAAACTTCATGCCCTCTGGCCTTTAACATTAATAGTCTTAGAGTTTCATCATCACCATCAATTTTGGGTAGCTTAAGCTGCATTTCAGTCTGAGTTTTGCGTGCTTGAACTGAAATGCAGAACAAGACTTCCGTTTCTAATTAGAACTCGAATCGATCTTGTCTACTGTTTTTCAAGTAAAAAAAGGATTATTATTATGCTCCACCTTTTTCTTTTAGATTGTCAAAAGTAATGCTATTATTAATGTGAGGCCTGCAATAATCTGCTTCATTGAAAGTAAACTCCAGAATAAATTTTCCACCACCCTCTAGGATTTGGCATTGATCTTATGTTTTGTTCTTCGCAGATAAGAGCATTGCACAAAGATTATCATGCCAGTCATGATCAACCTACTTTAGTCTCAAGAACAGTAATATTTTTGGCAACAAAGGAAGAACATTAGCATATTTACTGAGATGATGCTAGTGACACTTGGCTGGACTAGATCATGATGTTTCACATTGCTTCTTCGTCGCTTGTCATATCCGAGACAATTCGATTGCTTTCGAAAGTGATGGTATCTAGAGATGGAAATGGGCTCGATGTTTCCGGGTACCCGGCCCGAAAAGATCGGGATTTACCTAATGTTCGCGAGCTTGGGCTTGTGCCTTATTTTAAGGCCCGACCTCGGGTACGGGCTAGGCCTGGGTATGTCTTCAGGCCCGACCAGACAATTTTGGTATTAATTATACTAAATTACCTTTATACTATATATTTAATTACAAGATTGTCCTACATATATATACTCATTTTTCCCAAACCCTACATAGATGGATGGATATACTTTGTGGAAAGTTATTAATATATTTGGTGAGTATTAAAAAATAAATTAATATTTAAAAATTGTTTATAGAATTAAAAAAAAAATGAAATTTATTAATATTTAAAAATTCACATTATAAAAATGGGCAGACTTGGGTCGGGCCGAAGGTTACAAAAAGCCCATCGAGCCAGGCTTGGCATTTACTTGTGATACCCGTGATGGGCTTGGGCCTTTGTTATGAGGTCGGGCTTGGGCTTGGGCCAAGGGGTACCCGGTCTCGACCCGACCCATTGCCATCACTACTGGTATCCCTTTACCTGATATAATTAAAGACTGATATTGTGGTGAAGCCTGAGAATTCAATGACAAAGTTAAAATGTTCAAGTGGATTCATAATGGGGTTGTATACTTGTATTATGCAGCTACATTTTGCAGCATGGTAGTAATAAAAATTTGAGAACAGATGAGAAAACTCTTGTTTAATACATTAAGAGCTCTAGTATTTGTTCAAGTAACAAATGGTAAACAAAATTTTGGAATTCATGTGAAGATGCAAATGCAGATGTATGTTTTAGCAGAAATTTTTTTCCGCTCTTCATCTGATAGCAATAACAGTGTAAGCAACCACCACTGGGTGGTCCAACAGTTAACTAGGACTCTTGGGTGTATTATTGAAGAGATCCTGAGTCCAATTCACCTGGATTGCTAATAAGGGTGGCTACTAAGGGGATTTACTCGATTGTCAACTTTAGGGTCCCGAAGGATTAGTTGAGGTATGTATAAGTTGACCCGGACACCTCCGACAACAAAAAAAAAAAAATTGACAGTGTGAGCAAATCTCAAACAGTATGTAAATGGGCCAAATATTGATGGAGTCCATCTAGTAAAACCTAAGTGGGCCCCATGCGGGGCCCAAAATCCCGGGCCAAATATTGAAGGAGTCCATCTAGTAAAATCCTAAGTGGGCCCCATGCGGGGCCCAAAATCCCGGGCCAAATATTGAAGGAGTCCATCTAGTAAGATCCTAAGTGGGCCGCATACCGGGCCCAAAAGCCCAGGCAATCCGAAACAGACGTGGCGGATAGCAATGTGGCGTGCACAATACGTACGTAAGCGCATCTTAGTAATTGTTCAATACTGCATCTCTCTCAGATCAAACTCTAACCACAACGGCTTCTCTCTCCCTCTCTCCGGTTAGGTTTTTACGATTCTTCGCTTAGTTTCGTAAAATTAACGTACTCTCTATTTTTATATTCTCTAATTTCCCTGTATTCATACGCTGACGGCATTTAATTGAGTTCTAATTTAATCTAATTCAATTAAACAGTCGGTTTTGTTCTAATACAACTTATTATTGTTTGGTTGCCGAGAAAATTCCGTGAAAGTTAAAATTGACATGGAATGAAAGTTTTGTTTTGTTTTGTTTTGTTTTTTTTTTTTTTTAAAGAATCGGCGATTTTCTTTTCTATCAAGTAATTGTTGTATAGCTTGAGTTGGCTCAGTTTCCAAGTAATTAACTCTTCACATTCAATATTCAAAATTTCTCTTTTTCTCAGCTGCGGAATAGGGGATTTTATTTTATGAATATTGTGTTTGGATATTATCGTTAACAGTGAGTTTTATTTTTTTTATAGGTAGCTGGAAGGTTGATATATTAACGTTTTTTTACTATTATACAGGATCGAAAATGGTATGCTTCTAATTTATGCAATTTATTTCTTATGTTGATTGTTGTAACAAGCTGCTTGGAATAATGCTGTAGAGTTTGATGATTGTTGATGTGCTATGTTATATTTTCTTTGTATTTGAAGAACTTATTTTGTTGTTTAATGTTGGTGTTCAGTTGATTGTGAGACAGTATGTTAATGAGTGGTGTTGATTTAGGTTATTTCAATTTTTATGTATTTGAACATGAGTTTCTGATTTACAACTTCGAGAGCGGCTACTTCAATTCTTTCAATCTTGTCTAAACCCATACTTATCATTGAATTCATGGCAGTCAGATCCTCTTTGATGATTTGTACCTATCTCAGCACTGGACTTCTTTTGTTGTTTTGTACTTTTAAACTGAATAAAAAACCTCTATGCACATTTCTTTGTTTTGTTAATTGTCTGGGTAAGATTCAGACCTTTGAGTTATGCCAAATCTTTTGCCTGTGAACATCATGAATCCAGTTCTATTAGAATACTTTTTACTTTGACTTGTTGCTGTCTCCATGTCTTATTGTTTTTTTTTTTTTTTTTTTTTTTTTTAAAGAATGTTCTAGCTGAAGTCATGTGCATAATGTCATGAGCAACCAATTCCTCATTGCATCCCTATCCTCTCCATCATTGGGTTGCTCAGATTTTATATTTCACATGATGGAAAGAGTAGCCAACTAATTTAAGGAGAAATTTTTTTAGAGATGCATCTATATACTTGGAGAATTTATCCATGGAACTGTAATGGTTACAATGTGGAGACTTAAAGCAAATTAAACAAAATACTGCTACTTGTTAGTTTTTTTCTTTTCACAACTATATTTCACCAAGAATTCTTGTTTGCTTTATCATCATGTAGCATGGTAGAGAGTAATATGTTAATACGTTTAGTGCTTATTTTTGAAGTAGTTGAATGTGTTTTTCCTTCTTTTTTGGGTCATGTGGAATCCTATGTATCATAAATATAGATGTATTGATTCTTCTATTATTGTTCTTCACTTTGTTGGTGTTGATGTTGTAGTTTTTCGATGGATATGGATATCATGGGACCTCATTTGAGCAGAGTTATAGATGTTACCCTGCATCTTTTATTGAAAAGGTTGGAAATCCTATTTCATCTTGTCCCTCTTGAATTTGCTGATAACTTTATGATGTTATTAGTTCTACAAATTGTTTTTGCAGAACACCTGTATAATTTTATTTGTTAAATTCTTTTGGTGCTTTTTCTTAATGATTCTAATTTCCTTTTTTCTTGACCATGCTGCAGCCACAAATTGAAAGTGGTGATAAAAGTGAGTCTTTCAATTGTTGTGCTTTTAGCTTCTAGATGTTTCTTTCTCTTAACGCTTTCCTAATCTCTTTTTTATTCTGTTTTTCAGTTATAATGCCTCCCTCAGCCCTTGATCGCCTTGGTTAGTTATTTTAGATGCATTTCTTTTGGGCTTTGATTCACTTACGGTTGTTTATCCAAATTTTCACGAGTCATGATCTATATCTATAATGCTAATGGTAGACACAATCTTGCAGCATCTTTGCATATTGATTATCCAATGTTGTTTGAGCTTCGGAATAATAATGCTGAGCGAGTCTCACATTGTGGGGTTCTGGAGTTCATTGCAGAAGAAGGCATGATCTATATGCCATATTGGGTAGGCTGGAAAAAGTGTTTGCGCATTTACTTAGAATATTTTGAGTGATTTTCTGTATTGTTCATTGTAGCTGGCAAAGACCTCTTCTAGTTATTTAATATCAATTGTTTTGGTTTGATTTTTGTTATTTAGATGATGGAGAATCTGCTCCTCCAAGAGGGTGATATTGTACGAGTGAAAAATGTTACACTTCCCAAGGGAAAATATGTTAAACTCCAACCTCACACAAAGGACTTTTTGGATATTTCTAACCCCAAGGCCATGTAAGTACATTGTATTTTATTTTCAGTTGCTAGTTTGGATGAGAGGTAGTAAGGTAGTAAAGAATTGTTAAACTTTGATGCTTTGACAAAAATGGGAATTCTCCATGTGAAAATCATGTTGTTGTCCTTTTACAGATGCTTGTGTTCTTAAGAAGCTGCTTTCCATGTCCTTTAATTTGCTGTTCCTGTTGTGTATCATAGTGAATTTATCTAACCTTGATGTGCCTGCATCTGCC